CATTGGACAGTTGGTAAAACGTGGATTCAGTGGTTCATCTCGGAGCATACTTCGGTTAAATACGTTGGGTACGTGGGCGCGCTCATCTTCAAATTATCCCTGCAAAGAAGTACGTGCAGAGAGGCCTGTTAGGAGCTATTTTATCGAAGCAAGATCATTTTTCTTTGCTGTTGTGATATCTGTTGTGGATCGGGTAACAAACGTGACGTACCTGTCATATGCAGAAAATCCGTTCTCCACAAAGCATCTCTGGCAACGGGCTAGGAACACCACGAAACACAAAGTGCCCACTGCCATTTCAAAGACGCCCTGAAGCTCATCAATAAGAAGCATCCAGAGTGAAATCAGTTATTTTACCAAGGAAATGCCCCGCTCCATTACAGAAATTAATGCACTGGCATTTGTGTCTGATTGCTTTCTTTCCCAAAATTCTTGACCGCTTACTTTCTTCAACCTATAATGGCTGCAAATACTTGCTGTGCGGCTATACTCGAAAACGGCTTCGGATAGGACATGAAGAAAGGAATTACATGTAGCACATGTAGTCTGTACGCCACATTTCAGAGAAATTAGGCTTGAGTATAAAGCTAAGTGTTAGTCTGAGTCAGCGTTAGAGTGAAGGTCAGGATTTGGGCTGAACTTAGGGTTGACTTTTCGGTTAAGATTAAGATGTGTGTCAGAAGTAATCTCAAGGTCACGGTTAAGACACGGAATATGCACACTTCCTGGAATTTAGCGTAGGGTCCCTAGCACACGCTCATCGAAGAGGTTTTTTGTTTATGTATGATAATCTGTTTGACAGGATTAGCTATTTCCCAAATAAGGTCCGCGAGTTTGAATAAATTGAAGTTTAACACAATCGTAGATGTCTTATTTTAAGTTCTACTAATGTATCATGGCGGAATGTTTAAATTCAGCCGCCATTTTGTCTGATCTCCATTCGCACCTATGCATCCGTCGCTCAATTCTTCTCATTATATGCGGCTTCTTGACCCTCTTTGTTGATTCGAACTGCAGTTCTGAGGTCATCTGCATGCAACCTTAGCATCATCTTGAAAGATGATAAATCTAAAGTGAATTTTGCGACTCATTTACCGACGGCTGTTAATTATGTTGGTAGTTGCAATCTTCAGCCATAACGCATAGTTTCTGAGCAACTATTCTGCTGTTTCAATATCTAATTTTATTTCCAGTGAATGCAGGATTTTTTGCTGAATATGTGGGAAGGATACTATCAAGATAAGGCGGACGTCTCTGCTTACCTGTATTAATATTTCGCTATTTCCATTCAAATAGGTATGCAATTACTTTATGCAGAGTTACTAAAAATGTTCGCAACTTCCGTTGTTGCCGTTTTATGTTAACTGACACAGTGCACGGTTTGGGTATAAATATCGGCGTTGGCATTTTTAGTTTCTAGTTGGTGTTCATGTAGTCGGATAGTTTCTGAATCATTAACAGTTAACGAGCAGGTTAAAGAAGTCTGCTTGGGAAATGTAAAAGTGAGTGAAGATCAGTCCTATTTAGAAAAGGACAGATTTCACTGGGCCTTCTTAAAACCACTAAACCCACCTCCCATTTTTAAAAACGCGGCCTATGTCTTATACTCTATTTTCTCTGCGTGCTATTGCTTAATACTCCTTGCGCTAATAATCGATGATAAGTTTCATTTTTTCAAAGGATACATTATGGACGTACTTTCCCATAGTCATCAGCTGTAGGTGTTCGTTCATTTCGTCGAACGTCGGTCTGTGTTCCGGTTTTTCGGACCAAGCTCGCTGCATGATTTCCAGATAGGCCGGTGGTATATCCGTCTTGGCAATCTAGAAATCACGAAACAAATAAACCAACCAAAGAATAACAGGTATTAAGTGCTGAATGCCAGTAAGCGGGCAAAAGAGCAATTGTAATTGACACATCAGATCGAGTTGTAGGCGCCATGCAAAACCTTGCATCTATTACACCTTGTAATATTTAAAGTCCCGATTGTCAAGCAAATGTTTCTGGAATAATGCCTTCACAGACAATTCTATTGCGTAGGTATCGGTTTTAAATATCATCCACAAACTAATCATCTTTCTTGACGTTAAAATGTGACCCCTTAACTGAACAAGTGACAAACTTTTCATTTAAATAAACCATTGAATGGTGCATCCGTATAAGATTAGATAGGTAAGAAGAAGTTAAATAACAAAACCTCATGATTACATTAGCAATTACTGTAAAAAATGCACAAACCAAACAGCAATCCCTG